GTGTCTGTACCTCATTGTTGTTTCATGAAACCACTATAGATGGTGAAAATTAGATGATAGCATCTGTAAAATATGTAGGGACCCTTGAAAATACTGTCCTTGAAGCCAGAATTCCATCACAATCTTGGCAGGTCTGTAGGGGAAAAAAAAGTTGCTTTTTTGCTCATTCATTCAAGGTTAAAAAAATAAATAATTCCAAGTTTCTTTTTCCGATACCAAATTAAGACTGTTACTCCTGCAAACAAGTTTTCTCATATGTCATATATTTGCCTATTAGTAAGAATCTATCAAGGTAAAAGAATAAAACTATACAAAAGTGCATTGTACAGATCTCTTATTAGATTGAACAGTTTCTAGTAATTATAACCATTGTCTGTATTCCTCAGAGAGAGCCTTAGATCCTGATGTATTCGTAGTTGTGTCAGGAATGACAGCACCAAGATTTAATTGATGGAAGGGAAGAGGCTTTTTTTTTTCCAGTGTCCAAACTGGCTAAGAAAACTATTCATACTTTTGCAGTGCATTTTCTGCAAAAAGGAGTTAAGCTTCTTTTCCTAATTATTGTAGACAAAGCCTTAAAAGACCTGGTGCTTCAGAGGGCTGCACTTTTGATATGGTAGTGTGCGATATTAACAGAGCTTTCCTTGTTGGTGTTTAAAGGGATGTCATTGTTAGGAAGTGAATAAATGGAGAGAGTAAGCACCACACGCTAAATTAGCATTCAAGGAATATTTTGAGTGCTACAATAACAGTAGCTAATGGTTCCAAGTGAAAACTGAGATTTAAGTCTTCACAGATTATTTTATATGGTGACAGTATCGATCGAATATAACTGGATTTAATTATTACAAAATATTAAATAGTTATTGGGGGAAACTCATTCTGCAATTTAAATTATTACATTATTATAGGATCGTATTCTAATACTTTATGTAAATGGCAATATGAAAAATAACACGTGTGTCCCAATGTCAGTTTTTTTCAGAAAACTCCTGGCCTACCGGTACACATGCTTGCTGACATCTGTATGCCATTTTCATTTGACTAGGTTATTAAAACTTTTGATTTTCAGGCCCATTTGAGAAGAGAACCTTAGAATGGCTCCACATTTACTACTCTGTTGTATTTACTACTTAGAAAAATACAAATGTCATTGTTTATCTCTCAATCTGTCCCTTTCCCTCCTACTTTTTATTCTTTTATTGCAGTATCAGCCCCTTGTGCAGTCAGCCGTGGTAGGAACTGACTCTCACCCACCTCATTCTGCCCCTCACCACGTCTTAGGGCGATGTGATAGTCATAGAATTATAGAATCATACAATGGTTTGGGTTGGAAGGGGCCTTGTAGATCATCTAGTTCCAGCCACCCTGCCATGGGCAGGGACACCTTCTACCAGAACAGGTTGCTCAAAGCCCCATCCAGCCTGGCCTTGAATACTTCCAGGGAGGGGACATCCACAGCTTCTCTGGGCAACCTGTGCCAGTGCCTCACCACTCTCATAGTAAAGAATTTCTTCTTTATATCTCATCTAAATCTACCTTTTTTCAGTTTAAAGCCATTACCCCTTGTCCTATCCCTACATGCCCTTGTAAAAAAGTCCCTCTCCAGCTTTCCTGTAGGCCCCCTTCGGGTACTGGAAGGCTGCTATAAGATCTGCCAGCAGCCTTCTCTTCTCCTGGCTGAACAGCCTCAACTCTCTCAGTCTTTCCTCACAGCAGAGGTGTTCCATCCTTCAGATCATTTTTGTGGCCTCCTCTGGACCTGCTCCAACAGGTCTGTGTCTTTCCTGTGCTGAGGGCTCCACAGCTGGACGCAGAACTCCAGGTGAGGTCTCACCAGAGCAGAGCAGAAGAGCAGAATCCGCTTCCTCGACCTGCTGGCCATACTGCTTTTGATGGAGCCGAGGATACGGTTGGCCGTTTGGTCTGTGAGCACACGTTGCTGGGTCACGTTGAGTTGCTTGTCAGCCAGCACCCCCAAGTACTTGTCCTCATGGCTGCTCTCAGTCCATTCTCTGCACAGCGTGTGTTTGTGCCTGGAATTGCCCTGACCCATGTGCAGGACCTCGCACTTGGCCTTATTGAACTTCATGAGGTTCTCACAGGCCCACCTCTCAAGCCTGTCAAGGTTCCTCTGGACGGCATCTCGTCCCTCCAGTGTGTCAACTGCACCACTCAGCCTGGTGTCATCAGCAAACTTGCTGAGGGTGCACTCAATCCCACTGGCAGTGTCGCCAACAAAGATGTTAAACAGCACTGGTCCCAATACCGACCCCTGAGGAACACTACTCGTCACTGGTCTGCACAGTCCTCCTCCTTTTCTGCCACTCAGCAAAGGCTTCCTCTCCTTCCTTAGTCTTTTCACCCCTGCCAAAATTCCCCAGTCAAGGGTACCGTGAACACCTCTGTATCATTGTTGCTACTGTCTTTTCATCTCCAGAACAGGTCAGTCAGCATGTCAACATCTTGAACATCCAGTGGAGGGTGGCCATAGCTAAATGCAAGGGGGCAGATGTTCATGGCTGCCAGAGGCATTTGTATGAGCTCTAGGCAGTTGCAGTTGTGACTGCGGGCTGGTGAAAAGAGGATCCACGTCTGCAACAGATTTTCCCTCACTTCCTTAATTTTTGTTGTAGTAAGGTAATTCTCATTGAGTTTGTATCACCTAAAATTGGATAGCTGAAGTGTTTCAGAATACTGGGCTGAATACAACAGGAAGAAGAGAAACACAGATTTAACCCAGTGTAAAGCCTCACAAACTTGGCCAACTAGTGTCTGAGCTGTAGCTCCCAGTGCTTTCTCCTTACCTTGCATCAATTATTCATGCCTTTGCTGTTCCAGCTCGCAGAGTTCAGCTTGTCTCCCTTCATCATCCTCCTGGATGCTGGCAAAGGGCTACTGCCCAGTACTCTGCTGCGGTAGCAGTTGCTGTCCCAGATCTGATGCTCTTGAGACCACCAGGAGAATGGAATGAGTGGAGCTGCTGTTAACCAAATAAGGGTGTATGGCTGGCTTCAATACAGACAAGTACAACGAGCATTTACAGTGAAAAACATTGTGGGGTGATTTTCCCTTTTTTCTTTCAGATACTGTTTTTCGCAACCTACTGCCTGACTCATTCGCTCCTGTAAGGCTTCTCGCTATGTGGGTCTCCCAGAGCCGAAAGAGCTGCTGTCGTTGAATTCCACATTGAAATTAACTGTACAGAGGCAGCAACATTTCAAAGCTGAGACATGAATCACTTAATTTGCTAAACAGCCGTTCACTAAAATGCTCTGCAGTAGTGAACAGTGTTACATTGCACTGCTCAGGACTCAGCCTTACTGGATGTAGTGATTTTTGCTTGTTCTCCTAGGCTGTTATTAGTCTGACTTCTTTTATCTCGAATGAGGCAAAGTAGAGGATTTCATACATCCTTTGAGCTAGAAGGTATATATCTATGTAGCTTTATATATGTCTGTGTATGTGGGTGTAAATATATTTACACCCACTGCACAAAAATGTATTCATCCACAGTAACAGGTGGTGCTGGCAACACCTGTTGCTGGAGTCTCTCAGCACTCCAGTATTAAAACCCTAATTTTAGTTGCTTATAACTTTTGTCAAACTTAAGCATTTGGGTTGCAATGTTATGTGCCAGGTGTCTGCCTTAGGCTGATTTGGGGGAGGTGGATGGAGAGTGGAATTTATCAGCAAAACTGTTGCTGCCAGTTCAGGAAGCAGAGGCCAGGGCACTGGCTTGCCTGTGCTGAAAATGAGCTATTGCTTGTTGAGATGTTCCAGCAGCTTCCCTCCCTCCTCTGAAGCCGAAAGTTGCCAGTGGGGACCCCCTGCAGCTGGGCATGTCTTTTGCCAGTGTTATGGAAAGTTGCTGTTTTAATGAGAATGCACCTCTGTCTGGCTAAATTATGAGCCTGTGAAAATGCTTGGTAGAAGTTTGTTGACAGCTGCCCACCTGGCTGCCACCGTCGTGTCTGTTTCCAAGGACCAGTGCTGTGCTGGGGACCCTTCGGATGCAAGATGCCCGTGAAGCAGCAGAGTAAGCCTTGGAGTCTGAGCGCGGAGCAAAGCAGGCTGCTGCACACAGGGGCACCGGTCCTCAGAGCAAATGCAGGTAGCTTGGCTCGTGCTTACAACAGCGTGAATAAATAGGAAGGAATGGCTGGGTGGAATCCAGAGGAACTGGTGATGAAGGAAGGGAGCGATGGGCTAAAAGTGGTAAGAGTGAAGGACACAAGGTTTTAAGAACGGTATGAGGAGAAATACTGAGGAGACAAACCAGTGTGATGTGGCAGATAGGCTGAGAAGGGATGGAGCAGAGCTGTGCCAGTCCATGACTGCAGGATTTCTGTGGTCCCTGCCTAACCAGCTGAAACGTTCTACTGATAATAATACATCTTAGCTCCTCAAACGGGTGATTTACACAGGAATACAACCTGTACTGTGCTGCCAGTGGTTCCCCTTGAACCTACCGATAAACGCTTAGGAGTTTGCATGCTTTCATCTGATGCTGTTTCAGGATGCAGAGTTGTTCAGTTTACTTCTGCTTAATAGAAACATCAACATTTTCATTCTTTTTTCTCTTCTTTAGTATTTCTTAGCTTTTGCATACTCAGCCTGCACTTGAAGGATTGTTATGTGTGCATGTAAATCCCTTTGCAAATGCTGCAGTTGTTCCTTACTGTCTAATCTTGCTTTGGAATCTGTACTACATTTGTAGCTCACAGTATGCAAAATCACGCTAGTAAGTCAGTTGTAGATACCAGAATGGTCTGTGGTTTCATCTAGGTTGCAAGAAGATTTGAACAGACTGCTCGTATTATTTTTAAATGTTGTCCTTTCTTGATCGTCGTGGGAATTAGAAACAAACTGCCTGCTGCAAATTACTCTGTTTCATATTACTTAGCATTTTCCCATAAAAATCTGAAGAAACGTCACAGAACCTGATCAAAGTTTAAAGTCAGTTTGTTATTGCATGATGATGATTTTTTTTATTATAGGTAAAGCCTCAGCCAAGAAACTGACAAAAAAGGTAAGCAAAATGTTCCTTTCCTTCTTCAAAAGAACCTGCGTACTTTCTGTTACCCAACTGAATAGACTTCTGTTTCAAAACTGCATATATTTTCTTGTTTGTGTTTTTAAAGGAGGTAGATGCTGCGCTGCTATGCGTTGCCAAAGCTAAACCAGGACCGACTTTTTTTAGAGAGCTTGGTGATAAAGGTAATGAGCACTTTTGATACTGAAAAATACATTTTGTGTTTTATCTCATTATCTGGTATGAATTGAATATATTTTTGAAGAAAGTTTCATGGATTTTACTTCATCCCCATCTAGCCAGAAGCTGCCTCCTTGGCAGATCTCTCGGTTATGCAAGAGAGAGTAAAGAGGCAGGGCTGGGAACTGAAAGCCCTCTGAGGTGCAGGAGGAGGCGTGAAAGAAAGCAGAAAGCCTGGTTGGAGAAGAGAAAGGGGCTAAAGGGGTGACTTCAGCACAAAATGGACTTTTAAGACTTGTTGTTAATAAGCTGCTGTTTCACATATAACTTAAATGCACAGAAACTAAGAATAAAAATAAAATTTGTACCTAGTTATGTAAAGTGGCTTCCGTGATTTCAAGAGTAGTTGAACTTATTTCTCCCTCTTCAGGAGCTCAGTGGCCCTTCACAACACCAATGTGCTTCGGTTTCTTTTCACCCAGCATTTCTACCTTATATCAGGCTACATAAAGAGAAAACACTGAGAGCTGGGGTATTGTTTGTATAACAACAGGGAATTAAAGAACACCAAATAAACACATCATTAGCATAAATTAATTGAAGGGAGAAAACAAACAAGAGGATCAAGGAATCCAAATAGATGAGTAATTAACCATTTCACCAGTAACAAAGACTGAAATCCCCAAACTAATGAGAAAGACTGACCGCATCTATTCACAAACTGTCTATATTGTAGAGTTCAGCTGAAATCCTTATACCATGGATGTTTCTGGAAAATAAAGCTCTTGGCACTGCTGCAGTTCCTTGGCAGGCATGAGCCACGCTCTCTCCGTGCACAGCAGATCCCTGGGCATGGCTGGCAGCTTGCGCCAAGCGAGCAGCCCTCGATCTCAGCCTGCAATGTTTCGCCGGCCCTTTGGCCTCACGGTCCCTTCTGCATGCGACTCATTTCTTGCATCCTTGTGCAGACATGGAGCGGTCCTCAGCTGGGTGACTTGCTTGTCCGTCCACTCCTGCAAGCCCCAGTGTTCGCCAGCAGCCCTGAAACATCTCTGAACAAGTTGGACAATTTTTTCCTGTCCTAGGGAAAGCTGGGTTTTGTATTGAATAGTCATTCCCTGCCTTTTCAAATTACTAATCATCATGTGCTTTCCCAGGATTGGGTTTAAATGATTCCTAGTCTTTAATTCTTGGATATTCTTTTCTCTATCCCTGCTTTTTTAGAGCCTTTCTTTTTCTAGTGATTGACACTGCAAATTCCCAAAGCACTTTGCCTGGGAAAACCGTGAATGCACCAACAGAAGGTGAAAAGATAGCAAAGCAGCACAACCTCCTTTTATTGCACCTCTCCCAGCTGATTGCTTGGCAGAAAGCAAGCTCGGTGATACACTCAGCCTGACATCTTTTGCATTCTGGATGAGTCATTGATCTCCCCTTGCTTAGGTCTGTATGCCCTGTCCTTCAAAGGTGAGGTAGGGGTTTGAGATGATGCAGGAACATTCAGTGCAGCCATCCGTATGTCTACACAACACTCCACGCCTCTTTAGTGGCTTTGAGGTGTATTATTATTACATTTTTAAAGTGTAAATATTTATGTATTAAATACTGCTTTTCCAAGTACCAGAATAATGAATCTACACCTGTTCCATTGTTTAGCTGAGATTATTTTAAAAACCTTCAAATTGTTATTTAAATATCAAGTAGAGGGAAAACTGTCAGCAGTCCAGTTTGTAAACGGAACGCTAGGGAATTCTGCCTTCTAGTGGGCAGTTTTAAAATTCATGTCATATTTTGTGGGTATGCTTATGATTTATTAAGCAATAAGAATATTGTACTGTCAGCATTGGCTATAAAGTTTGAGGGTAGAGATTTCCAGGGAGGGACAGGGAAGGTTCATTTAGTGTTAGAAAACGACAGTATTTTCCCAATGCTAACTGCAGATACTTGGCTGCAAGTATGCTGAGTCATTCAACAGTATGTGAAGCTTTTAAGTTTTGCTTGGGCGTGCATATAATTTTCTGTGGTTTTGGCGTTTTTTTAATTTGTTGCATTGCATCTTTTAATTTCATTAATTTTGTAATTATTACTGTAGAATAAAAAGAAAATTACCTAAATATTTAATTTGCTTTATGGATAAGGTAAATTGGCCATTCACTGCAGGTAGTAAGAGGGCAATAAAATAAAAAGAAGAATTTTTATGGAAGTGAGTCCACAAGTTTAAAAGTCTTAGCTCAAATGTTTTTAGTATAATCAATCTGCCAGAAAACATCTGATTTGCTTTAAGGCACTGAGGCAGGTTTAAAGAACAGTCAGGATTTTTTTTTAACATATTTTTTTTATACTTACGTTTTTACCTATCTCACTACAGTGACTCTTCAATGAGCTTACAATGAGATGATGAAAACAGAGTCTATGTCTCACCCCTGCCATTTCTTGAAAGGCTTTTCTTTCCAGCCCTCTGCAAATTCCAGTGAATGGAGCTGTCATGCTTCTCCCTTGAACCAATAAGGAGGGTGTTGTCTTTACACTGGTCTTTTCTTTACATCCTCCCATCTCCATATAAATTTTGCAAATTCTTTCTGCAAAATTTTGTATAGTACAGTGTTCCCTGTCTACCCATATAGCTAAAATTCGCCAGGCACTCAGCATTTTGTGTCTCAATTATTATGACTTTTTTTCTCTGACTTTAACAAACTTAACCTGCCATGTTATTATCCTTTCAAATGCTTTGATGAAGATGATTTTCTTACATGACTCCTTTGAGTGCATGATGCCTTCTTTTGTATCCTAACACTGGGCTCTCCTTGTTCTGCTTTATCTAGCATAAGCTGCTTGTCTTTACCTTCCAGGCCTTCCCCAGACTGTCCCTGTGCAGCATGTCTCCAGGCAGCTGAGAGGCAGACTCCCACTTCTCCTTGGGCAGTGATGCTGGCCTTCATCACTCGCTGGTTAAATTTTCAGGCAGGGATCTTTGTGCTGACACCATTGCAGTCCACAGCTAGGAGGTGTTTTCTGTATAGAGCTGAAAAGTTACCTCCTTGTCTTTCTTTATATTCTTCCTTTAAATGTTCTCTTGCTGTGACACACACAAGAAATTAGGGAGCAGGAATCTTGATCGCTGGCCATCACACTATATGCTTGATTTCTTTTCGTCCCCTAGGTGTTTTTATCCTTTTTTTTTTTTTTTAATCTTCTCTTATACTTAGGTGTATAAGCTAAAAATAGGGAATAGGAGTTCTTTCTCTGTTTGTTTGGTTTCGAGTTTGTAGAAGCACTTTGTCTGGAATCATAGAATCATTAAGGTTGGAAAAGACCTCTACGATCATCGAGTCCAACCATCAACGCAGCACCACCATGTGTGCTAAACCGTGTCCCGAAGTGCAATATCTACACATTTTTTGAACACCTCCAGGGGTGATAACTCCACCACCTCCCTGGGCAGCCTGTTCCAAAGCCTGACCACTCTTTCAGTAGACAAATTTTTCTTAACACCCAGTCTGAATCTCCCCTGACACAACTTGAGGCCACTTCCTTTCATTCTATCGCTAGTTACCTGGGAAAAGAGACCAACACCTGCCTCACTACAGCCTCCTTTCAGGGAGGAGTAGAGACCAGTAAGGTCCCCCCTCAGCCTCTTCTTCTCCAGACTAAACAGCCCCACTTCCTTCAGCTGCTTCTTGTAAGACTTGTTCTCTAGACCCCTCACCAGCCTCGTTGCTCTTCTCTAGACACGCTCCAGTACCTCAATGTCCTCCTTGTAGTGAGGGGCCCAGAAATGAACACAGTACTCCAGGTGTGACCTCACCAGTGCTGAGTGCAGGGGCACGATCACCTCCCTACTCCTGCTCGCCACACTGTTCCTGATAACAAGCCAGGATGCCGTTGAACTTCTTGGCCACCTGGGCACACTGCTGGCTCATGTTCAGCCAGCTGTCGACCAGCACCCCAAGGTCCTTTTCCACTGGGCAGCTTTCCAGCCACTCCTCCCCAAGCCTGTAGCATTGTGTTGGGTTGTTGTGACCCAAGTGCAGGACCCAGCACTTGGCCTTGTTGAACCTCATACAGTTGACCTCGGCCCATTGCTCCAGCCTGTCCAGATCCCTCTGCAGAGCCTTCCTACCCTTGAGCAGATCGACACTCCCACCCAATTTGGTGTCATCTGCAAAGTCAGTGAAGGAGCACTCAATCCCTTCATCCGGATCATTGGTATTAAACAAGAGTGGCCCCAAAACTGAGCCCTGGGGAACACCACTCGTGACCAGCAACCAGCTGGATTTAACTCCATTCACCACCACTCTCTGCGCTCAGCCATTCAGCCAGTTCTTTATCCAGCTGAGAGTGCACCCATCCAAACCATGGGCAGCTAGTTTCTCCAGGAGGATGCTGTGGGGAACAGTGTCAAAGGCCTTACTGAAGTCCCGGTAGATAATATCCACAGCCTTTCCCTCATCCACTAGGCAGATCAGCTGGTCATAGAAGATCAGACTGGTCAAGCAGGACTTGCCTTTCATGAACCCATGCTGGCTGGGCCTGATCCCCTGGTTGTCCTTCACATGCCCGGTAAGCGCAGTCAGGATGAATCACTCCATAATCTTTCTTCCCTGGCACCGAGGTCAGGCTGGGGAACGTTCTAGGGGAAGAGTCTAGGAACACGATTTCAAGTTCTACAGCAACGCAAATAATAACTTACATTGTTGCAATGGCAGTAACCCTACAACCTGTAAGCAAAATTAAATCTTTGATATTAAAGTGGGTTTTATTTTCACAATGCATTGTATGACTCTAGTACTGTGCTGATTTACACGTGATGCATGCTGGATAATAGGGTGAATAGCCTTGTTTTGGTGGAGTGGAAAACTGAGGTATGGAACCAGAATGAGTTTGTGACAGGATCAGCATTAGACCTGTCTTTAGCTAAGACTTGTTCTTGGATTTTCAGACCCTTGCATTCAGAAATTTAATATTTGTAAACTCTGGAACCTAAAACTTGAAGTGTTAAGTCACTGTCTGAGGTCAAATACAAGTACTGTTGGCTCTGCATAGTAATTTATCAGAAGTTAATTGTTTATCACTAAAGCTTAAGTGGATTCCTTAACTATCAATTAACTAAATATAAATTATAAAAAATTGTTTATCTTTGCACAGATAGGCATGCTTGAACTTCATTATTCTAAGCAGCTTCAGCATTATACACTGTTTAGATCACAGGTTAAAAGTAGCTCAGTTATTTTGAAAAGTGATTTATAAAAAAGCCCTTTACATTTTTTCTCCAAACATTATTGCAGGGCAGATGGTTCAGATTCTGTTGTTTAACCACCCTCGTTATGCAGTCTCTATCTTTAGCTTGTGTGCTCTATTTTGACGCTATCACATCTTTGTGTTTGTTCAGGTTTTTCACTTAAGGCGGTATTTCAAAGAAAAACACTGGAATTTTCCTTCAAAAGGGGGGAAAATACTTTCACCTTGTAGAAAGGACATGTTCCTATTTTTTAAAAAAAAGAAGCCTCCTCTTGGCACGTGGCCCAGCAGTACTATCAGCACAATCTAGCAGCTTGGCAGCTTTGCGTGTTGCCGTGTTCCCCTTGAGAATTAGAGGGAAGCTATTCTCCGCCTTCACGAGCCTGCCAGAGGATGGAGGACTTTGATCCTTCAGGGTAACGTTAGAGTAGTTCTCCTCCCAGGTACTAAATGTGACAAAGCACATTTAATTTATTTGTCCTTTATATAAACATTGAATGTTTTCAGAGAGAATCCAAAGATTTAGTGTAGGCCTTTTATTAATACCAAATAAACCTGACTTTCTTGATTAGACATGAACATTGATGAGTCTCTGGATAGGGAATTTTACCTTCAGAGCACTAAAAACAGAAGTAAATACTTTATTAAATAATAATGTGGCTTACTTTAATAACATATTTAATATGATGCTAAACTACATTTTTTATATTTATAAGCTTTGATCTTTCAAGTCTTGTTACAAGTATATTTTTTGTAAGTCATTTTTTAACTCTTTTATTTCAGGGCTGATATCTTATGCAGAGTACCTATTTTTGCTGACAATCCTTACGAGTAAGTGTTATATATTTAAAATACATACGCATAAATACTTAGCTACTAACAGCTTTCCAGGAACTTTTTTTACTATTTTTTAACTTCTAAATTTCTACATTATAGTGAAATGTAAAAAACTATTGTAAATAGAGTGATAAAGCATTAATATAAAGGGATATAATTTTAATTGTTTGCAACTTGCTTCCATAGTGTCATCATTGGTCCGTAGCAGTACTCCAAAAATCATGATAATCCGTACACCATGGGATCAATAAATTCTTGCAAGAGAATTTGAGAGAGGGCAGACATTGGTTACAGGACCACATAGTAAGAGGAAGAAAAACAGTGGGGGAGGGTGAAAAAATCTGTCTTCTGGATAGCAGTTTTAGTCCTTTTGGACAACAAGATGTTAACATTATAGCTCTTGCAGTGGTGTAAAATGCTGTTGTGATGTTTGAAAGGTTGTTGCTTATTATTCATGTGTTCAGATACACAATGGATGATATACATAAGCAGCAGACTTCTGCAGTGTCTTTTTGTTTGACTTTTTAATCCTTTTTTTTTTTGCTCTGTTCCTTTTGACTTTATTTCCTCCAAGTGTTTTGCATGTATTTCTGCTCCCTCCTTTGTCTCCTTCCTGTCAGACACTTTATAAAAAACTTTTTTTGTCTGGTACTTGCTTTTACCTGCAAACAGAAGGCATTTTTTTATTTGTACATGGAAGCAATCTTGGGTTTTCTGGGTTTCCTCACTCATACTTACTCTGTGCCATGCTTGCCACTTCCCTGTGCTGTTCTGATAAAGTGTAGGTGGTGCTAGAAAATACAGAGATTTGAGATAAGAAATGTGCAATGAGCATTACGCAGTGAGACCCACAGACCAGCAGTGCAGTAGTCTGCGTGCATGTCCATGTAATAGTCCACATGCAGCGTTGTTCAGCTGACTTGCACAGGTTTGACATTTTAAGCAAGGGACAAAACCAAGCATACTAGATCTCATGGTACTGGTGGGTGGGGAAAGGAGAGAAGGAAGCAGTCGTTCTTATCCCAATGGACTGTAGATGCTTGAGCCTCATCACTTCAGTGGCTGCAAGGTCCGCAGCAGCAGCTTAAACAAATTGACAAATTTTCCTCACTCTAGAAATCCGCTCTGTCACAGTGTAGTAAGAACAAGTAGTGTTGGTCTCCAGAGTCCACTCCTCGTGTACAGTGATTGTTGGTACACGCCTCTTGCACGGTGTAGGTAGGCCTTTGGTCATTTCTCAGCAGAACTGCATCGGTTCCTACGAGGAACTTCAGCTGGTACACAATATTACATAGTGTATGTGGACTAATATAACCTATTACCGTAAAAATGTACTGTTTCACCAGAAGTGACTGTCCAGTGCTACACACATTTTGAACATGAGTTATACCATGTGTTCAAATGCTTTTTGAAATCAGAAATAATACAAGAGTCTAGCCTAGTTAGAAAGCTGATGAAAAAATATTTGTTGCAACTCCAGTAAGTTTTTTTTAAAAAAGCACAACCACATTATAAGTTCAGATTAATACCTTTATTAAAGTTGCAGAAATAGGTGCCAAAGATTCTATTTCTTTAAAAATCTGTGGCAGCTGAAAGTAAATTCATGCTGATTTATTGGATGAAACAATTAGAAAATTGAAGCAATATCAGAGCAAGTTGTTCCGCTTCTCCAGATAATTAAGTAACATTGTTTTTCACAGAATTTATATAGGAATATATTGAACTGCAAAAACAAAGGCACCCTTTTGATGCAGAATAAAAAGGCAGTGCTAATGTTGCTGCTTTGGTTACATAGAGGTTATCGTACCAATCAGTTTGAAAGCAAATGTCAGCAAGTGTTAGTGCCTCTGTCTTTGCCTAACACGTATCCCGTGTCAGTCAGCTCCCAGTTACACAGCCTGTCTCTCTTGCTAATGAGAACTATCATCAGATTTCTCAAAGCAGCCATAAATACTTAAATGACTTCTACTAAGTCATCAACAGAGTGATAGGGAAGTAGGAAAAGAGTCACCAGGTTTCCAGCGTCCCAGTTCCAGGACACTGGTGACCAGACCATGCTGCTTGTCATACAAAAGCACTATCTGTAACAATATTGAACTTGAAAATGGAAGTTTGTGGTAGACAAAGGGTTTATTTTGCCCTGTGATCCCTTTTCTCTTTTCTGTGTGCCTTGTATCGTCATTATCTTTTTTCTTCCAGTGTTATACTGAATTTCATTTCCAGCATTTGATTATTGGAGCTTCTGGTGAAGGAGCCCAGGAACTGAAATTGTCACCTTGACTCAAACCTTTGTTTCAATTAGCCAGTCACACAAGCTGACAGCTTGGTCAACATAGGAATGGTTGGAGGGGAAGCACCTAAGTCTAACCTACACTCACAGCTGAGATGGAGCTCTTCTGTTCAGATTTTGGAATTTTGCCTAATTCTAATTAAATACAAATATATCTGAGGTAGTCTTTGAACTATGCTTATTTTACGAACACATACCTTTGGGGTTACATCATATCAGATAAGTATGTCATCTCTGAACAGTATAAGCAGCTTTAGGTCCTGTATTTTCAGTAACAGCTCTCTTATCTGAAAATTGCAACACAGATGGTATGAATTACTATTAAATACATCAATTACTTTTATTCTCTAAATATGTTATAGGATATGCTCTTCTTGCTTTTGTACTAGAAACATAAATTCAGCGTGTGGCATTTCCATGGAAGGGCAGACAGTTTTGATTATTACAACCCAGTTGCTGGGGGTAAGGGCTCTGCTATGCAGATTGCAACAGTATTTATAAAATATCCCTGCATCACAGGGTTGCTCCAGAGAGAACGTTAGTTGGCTGCTGAAGATGTCGTTATTTCTGAAATGTAAAAATAGTACTTTCCTTAACCATCTTGTTATCACTTAAAAGGAACAGGATATTTATTTAACTTGTTCTCTTTGCAGAAAGATTCTCAAAAAAAAAAAGCAAGACTTAAAACTTTATGGGCTGGAGCTGGAAGAATATATTTCCAAAAGAAAAACTCTGAAGGCATTAGAGTTTTTTAGAGATACTGCTTCACTGCCCTTATGAGTCCAACATTATTCTTGGAAACATGAATATATTCTAGAGACGATAAGTCCATGGCTTTCCTATTAATGCTTGACTTGACTGGGTTGTGGATTTAATTCACCTGCTCCAGAAATTACTGGGATAAGTGGTTGCTACTGCAGTGAACTGTAAATGCATTTCAGCAGCATACTGCTCCTGTGTGGGCTTGCTAATAAGCAAGGCCACCTCCTGTAAGCAAAGTAAGATCAGGAAATTGTGTGAAGGAGCTCAAAACACACCATGTTTTTATAGCGCCTGAAAGACTCAGAACTCATTACATTTTTGTGTTGAAAAGAAACATCCACTCGGTGAAGGAAATCCAGAGTAAAATTATATAAAATTCCTGAAAAAAGCAGCTTGGTGGGAGTCATACAAAATATGCTTTTGTCCAAAAAGGCCAGAAAGAGTGGTTTATTACTTCTCAGTAACATTTGAGTACATTGTTTAGGGAGGGAGGAGAAGGGAAGAAAAAAAGGCCTGGGGCTAACACAGCGGGAGCAGGAGAGCTGGCCGCGGCTACAGGATCGCTCTGTTTGCTGGGGAAAACTGGGGAAGACTGCAAATACTGGCGCACAGTAATGCATGCAAGAAGTACCTGAGGAGTACAGTGGCTCTTTCACGCAGTTTGTGAATAATTACTGGTTTCTCAAGGCACTTTCCAGTCTTCTCACCTGAAAAGGAGCTCTAATAAACATGGCAGAGCTAAACTTTGGAAGTGACATGAGATTATGGAGGCATCTACAGAGAATATCTAAGATCAGGACAGTACGACATGCTACATTTTCGAAGCCATTAGGATCAGATGGACGTTTGTGGTGCTGCCAACATTTCTTGCTTTGCCTTTGCATTAATTATTGCTTGAAATGGTAGTAAAAAGGTGTTTTAAAAGTTTGATGATGTTGGAGGAGGTACATATGTTTTACTGGAAATACCATGTACATGCATAACGATGGAGAACTGAACCATAGGCAATATTCTTTTGCATTAAATTTTTAAGTACTGGTGTAAGTGTGTGTTTACAATAAAGTTTTTTGCAATTTGTTGCAGAACCCCAGACTGGATTTCAGATTGCCTTTAAAATGTTGGATACAGATGGCAATGAACAAGTTGAAAAGAAAGAGTTCTTTAAGGTATGTGTATTTATATGCATATTAATTTTAAGGCATTTAAATAGTTCCATGGGTTATATTTGCTAAATGAAGATTCATTAAAATCTTCAAGCCTATTTTTCAGTCCAATCTGTGATCACATAGTTATTAAAATAGTCTATATGAAAGGAGCATGTACCAAAGCATTGCTATAGAAGTATTTACCATATTTGAATCCACATTTATAAATGTTACCTTTGATTTGTGTCTAAAAATCTGTTACTAGGATCGTAGGAGTTGGTGTACATCCCTTAATCCCATAAGTGATTTGAATAATCATCTGGAAAAGTCTTTTCTAAATAATTTGGGTAATTTTAAAATTCACTGTCCTCTCTTGATTTTTATTAATTTTTTGCTGTTACACAATTTTTTTACCAAGTCACACTTTGGAGAGTAACAGCAGTTTTTCCCATATTTTGTATAAAATATGGGGGAAAGA